ACAAAACTATTCACTTTCCGAAAGCAAATAATATCGTAAAGGAGAAAGAATGTTCTTCGGAACAAAAATAAAAAAACAAAACAAATGTATCTGACTGCAACATTCCCAAACGAGATGACTCATCGACCTTGAATGTTAATGCGCAAGAGTTCGTTCAAAAGGCATTTATTAGCAATTTTTCGAATAAACAGAGTACAGTTCTGCTTTCAACAGTCGTATGTTTTCTAATTGATAACGAGGGGAAAAAACACAGAGTGAAGTGTTTGCTGGACGGGGGGCAGTATGTCGAACTTTTTGACACGGAATTTTATTGAGCATTTGCAGTTAGAGAAAGAAAAAACAAACATTTCCGTTTCGGGAATAAATGATGCTACTTTAACAATAAAGCATAAAATTAATGCTTCGATATGCAATAAAGAAGGAACTTTTATAAAGAATTTGGACTTTTTAGTAATTCCAAAAATAACTGCTGATTTAACACCTTCGCGCAAAATTAAAATTTCAGTGCAAGATCTTCCTAATTTAAAATTAGCAGATGAAGGATTTAATGTTCCAGAAAGGGTAGATATGTTGTTGGGAGCGGGAGTTTTTTATGAACTTTTGAAACCGAGTCAAATTCGAATGAATAATCCTGATCTTATTTTTCAAGATACAGTTTTTGGTTTTATCGTGTCTGGAAGTATTCCAACAGAGACTGAAAACAGGGTTCATTGTGGGTTGATAAAGGAAGAAGACAACTTAGATAAAACTCTTAGAAAATTTTGGGAATTAGAAAATATTGAAACTGATAAACCCAAAAACAAAGAATTTTTAATTTGTGAGAAACATTTCGTAGAAAATTATACACGAGATAAAACCGGTAGGTACGTTGTTAAAATGCCATTAAAGGAGGATCCGGACACTTTAGGAAGTTCTAAACAAATTGCAACGAGTAAATTAAATTCCTTATGGAAACGCTTAGTAAAGAATCCCGAATATTTAAAATTATATTCAGATTTTTTAAAAGAATATCAACAGTTAGGACATATGGTTGAGGTGAGTGAAAGCGAGGAGGAACGAGGTTCATATTACATTCCTCATATTGGAGTATATAGGGGAGAAGAGAAAAGTAAGTCGACTCCCTTGAGGGTAGTATTTAATTTAACGCTTCTTCTTTGACAACCAAAGGAAACTCTCTAAATTCTATACAGTATAATGGAGGTGTGATACAAGATGATTTATTCTCAATTATGCTGAGATTCAGGAAATATATTTTTGCTTTCACTGCTGATATACAAAAGATGTATCGAGCTATTTCTATCCATCCAGATCAGTGGAAGTTGCAAAGGATTTTATGGAAAGAAGGCATTGATAAGCCAGTTAAAAACTTTGAGCTAACCACCGTTACCTATGGAACTGTGAGTGCACCATTTTTAGCAATGAGAACACTTGTACAGCTGTCAAAGGACGAAGGAGATAAATTTCCTTTAGCAGCACCTGTACTGAGAGAAGACATGTACATGGACGATATTCTATCTGGAGCTGAGTCGCTAAGTTCTGCGTTAGAACTTCAAAATCAGTTAATAGGCATTTTGAAGAGTGGAGGTATGTTACTCCATAAGTGGTGTAGTAATGCTACTGAACTGTGTCAAACAAACGACAAAACATATCCCTTTGGTAAATCAGAAGAATCTAAAGCATTAGGTATTTTATGGAAGTCAAAAGGAGATTGTTTGAGCTTCAACGTTAAAATCGAAGACAACGTAAAGGTTACGAAACGGCAAGTGTTATCCGTCATATCTCGCATCTTTGACCCGTTGGGTATCATTTCTCCAGTTATAATTGTAGCAAAAATATTTATGCAGAAATTATGGCTGTTAAAATTGAACTGGAATGATGTTTTGCCAGAAAAGGAGGCTAAAGAATGGAAAGAATTCTCCACTACCTTGCAGCTAATTAACAACATTGAAGTCCCTAGATGTATTTTATTACCGGATAGAATCAAGATTGAATTACGTGGTTTCTGTGATGCCTCAGAGGCCGCCTATGGAGCAGTTATCTACTGTAAAGCAACATCAGCAACAAACCATACATCAGTGAGGTTGGTGTGCAGTAAATCGCGTGTCTCACCCCTAAAGAAGACTACAATCCCAAGACTTGAGCTTTGCGCAGCAGTGCTATTAGCTAAACTGATGCATCGAGTGAAAACATCGTTAAAATTGGAGCTTACTGCTATCCACTTTTGGACCGATTCTATGATTGTGCTGTAATGGATCAACAAAGAGCCACACCTGCTCAAGACATTTGTTGCAAACCGGATTTCAAAGATACAGGATCTGACTGAAATAGCACAGTGGCATCATATCGCTTCTGAAGAAAACCCATCAGATCTCATATCTAGAGGTATGTCTGCCAAAAAACTGCAACTAAGTCAACTGTGGTGGAACGGGCCTGACTTCTTAATGAAGGATGAGTACCCTATAAGAGTTATACCTGCAGCAATTACTGAAAAGGACAGTAATGAACTTAAAAACTTTGCTGATTCTGAACTATCTACATGTTTAAATCTGAATGTGAATAATTTTGTTAATGATTTATTGAATTGCAGTAATAAGTATTTAAAATTAATTCGTATTATAAGTTTTTGTTTTAGGTTTTACAAGAATTGTAAGCAAGAACAAAAGCAGGTAGGTAGGTAATTTACAAGTGGGAGAATTGAGAGCAGCTGAAGAAACTTTAATAAAATTAGTACAGGGTGAGTATTTTATAAATGAGATAAATGATCTTAAAAAATCAGGTATTGTTCCAAGAAATAGTTCTATTAAAAAGTCTTAACCCTTTCATTGACAGTAATGGACTGTTGAGAGTTGGAGGTAGATTAAAAAATAGCAATTTAACTTATGAGAAAAAATTTCCTATTATTCTGCCTTCTAAACATAAATTAACAGAGTTAATAGTTAATTACTATCATTTAAAATATTTGCATGTGGGTCCTCAATCTTTGTTATATCATATAAGACAAAAATTTTGGATTGTAAGTGGTAGAAATGTTTGTAGAAAAATTGTAAAAAATTGTATAATATGTTTTAAAGCTAATCCCATTGTAGCTCAGCAAATCATGGGTGATTTACCCAAGGAAAGAATCACAGCTAATCTTACATTCAATTGTACTGGAGTTGACCTCTGTGGCCCATTCTTAATTAAGTACAAAAACCAGAGAAAAGGTATATATCAAAAAGTTTATGTGTGTATATTCATTTGTATGGTTACTAAGGCCATTCATTTAGAGCTGATAACAGACCTAACATCTGAAGCATTAATAGCTACCTTGAAACGTTTCTTTGCACGAAGAGGTAAAAGTTTAACACTATTTAGTGATAACGCTACGAATTTTGTAGGTGCAAATGCAGAATTAAAGAGGTTAAACAAACTAGTGAACGAACAAGATGAGCTTTTAGCTGGTTATTTGAGTTCTGAGAATATCGAATGGAAATTTCTCCCTCCCAGAGCACCTAATTTTGGAGGCCTTTGGGAGGCTGGAGTTAAATCTTTTAAGTACCACTTCAAACGTGTCGTAGGTAATGCAAAATTGACATTTGAACAATTTTTAACAATTATGATTCAGATTGAAGGAATTTTAAATTCCCGACCATTGACACCCTTGTCTTCGGACATTGATGATTTAGAGGTTCTAACACCTGGGCATTTTTTAATTGGTAGAGCAATTAATTCGATCCCTGAGCCAGATATCACGGAAGTTAACATTAACAGGTTAAAATTGTGGCAACAGATCACAAGATTAGTACAAATTATCTGGAAAAAATGGAACTCCAATTATTTAAGTCATTTACAAAATCGATCTAAATGGCAAAGTTCTAAAAACAATATACAAGTTGGAGACATGGTCTTAATTAAAGATAATTTGCCTTGTTGTAATTGGGCGGTTGGTCGTATAATAGAAGTATTTTATGGTAAAGATGGAAAGGTTCGCGTGTGTAATGTAAAAACTCAAACTGGAACTTTCAAACGACCAATTACCAAATTATGTGTCTTACCAATACAAAAATGAGTATTGTCTTTATAGTTATTGTACAGTATTGAATGTGTTTCACATAAAATGTCATTATGTAACTGAAATGTTATATTGTATTGCTTTGAGTTGTACGCTTATGTATATGGTAAATGTCTAATTATAATAATGATTTTTATGTAATAGTACTTATTCAAAATTGTTTATGATATACTTGTTTAATTTTTTATGCTATATCTTAATTACAATAGTTGAATGCTAAGCATTGCAACGCGGGGCGGCATGTTCGCGCCTGCGCATCTGTAATGTGATGATCAAACGAGTTTGAGAATCGCCATCGACGGTGTAAGAGGGCTGGTCACAGCTATGAGTTAATTGTAATTAATTATGAGAATTAATAAAGAATCGAACCAGCGAATTTATTTAGTGTGTGTTATTTGGGACGAGACCCAAACAGTAGTATTAAAAGTAACAGTACTTAATATCATGCTGGACACTTTTGTCTAGTAAGCGAAGCATAAAGATTGTCAAATTTTTTTAGTTTTATTCAATGATGTACGAATTTCATGCAATTGTTAAATCACAAATTGTTTTAAATGATGAAGTATAATCATTTATTTATATCATCCCTTATTTAGGCATCAATGATGGCATTTGCCAGAGCATGGCTAAAATTTATCATTACATTTCCAAATATGTTGCTGAGTAACTACATAGATTCACAGGAACAGGTAAGGGTACCCTAAAAGTATCCATGGCTTAGTATTCTGACCCACATGACTTTTAGTTTTACACTATAGCCAGCCTTTGTTAAGTAACATACTTAAGACACAGCATACCTAGAAAATCAATTACAATCCTTACACAGCATAAAGCTGTATCAGAGAAAGAATATTCAATTTCCTAATTTACATATCAAATAATTATCACTAAAAATAAAATGTATCACTACTAAAATAATTTCTACACAAAAATAATATAGAAATTGCACCTTTCAATTGACACTTCAATCCAACCTCGGTTTGGGACATTTGGTGGAGGTGTAGTTAATTCTGCTTTCACACCAGCTAGAAGTTTTGTTTCAGCCTGAATATATAAATAAACACATATAATACCAAAAAGGAAAAAAGAATTATAGAAGTCATGGTTTGATTTTTACTGCAATGCCAAAACAATTATCCAATGAATACAAAATACATTACAGCTAATAATAAAATAGAATCATAAAGCAATATTTAACAGTTAAGGATACATGCTCAAAATCTCATTCAGCAAGTTGACTTAGATTATTTAAAAATTGTAATATTAAAATATTACAATTTATATACAATCAGGTATATTAATTGTAATATAACTTGACACTTACAAGTTTAACAAGAGCAGATCCATTGCAGTTTGCAATAACACCGGTTTCTAACTCAACCATGCGATAATCAAAGCAACTTCTTCCATCACCTCTAAAATTCTCCTGTAAAAGGGGGAAAATATATTTTCTTTCATTTAGTTACATTCTAACTTGAATAAACATTTTCCAAAAGGGGGAAAATATATTTCTTTCATTTAGTTACATGAATAAACATTTTCTGATTATTTTATTTAAGTGAAGTAATAAATTTTAGTAAAATACATTTTAGCAACCTCCCTACTACAATTCAACGCTGCCAGTCTGGTAACTCATAGCAACGAAAAACAAAATACAGTCAAAAGTCGTTAATTCGGACACCCATAATCCGGAATGATCTATAATCCGGACCTCAAAGCTACAAACTTTCTGCGCATGCGTCGCGTTGACCTTTATGGCTGCGAATACGTGTGTGCGCGTGCGCAAAATACGTTTACGAATGCGCGTTTAATGTATAACGGACGGTATAAGCTACAAGCTAAAATTATCTAATTCAGTTAATGTTGCAGATTGCGTTGTTCCTTAATCTTCGAATTGGATTTGGCTTATTATTTTTTGCAGATTGTTAGAGCAATTTTATAAAAGTAAGCTTGAACTTTTAATTATGTCAAATAGAATTTCTGATATATATTTACTAATATGTAAAGGATCTACAAAGCGAAAGTATGTTTTGAAGTCCATTAAACAAAAAGGGGGAATTGCTGCAAAAAATGGATAAAGGCATATCCTTTGTTTATCTAAACCTTAACGTTTGTTTATCTAAACCTTAACGTTTGTTTATCTAAACTTTGTTTATCTTTAACGCCGCGCGCAATGTATTGGAAGTTGATCTGTCAGCACTATCCTTATCTTCAGGGCAGATGTTTTTATTTTATTTGGCTTATAATTCCTTACTAAATGTAGTATTTCATCTTGATGTACTCCGTCTTTGATATGATTTAAATCAAATTCCTCGTCATTATAATTCGCTTCCGATAGCGAAGAAAGTGACAGAGGTTATTGAAAACGAAAAAATTTCGATTGACAAATTAGTCGGTATTCTCGACACAGCAATTATAGAACTAGAACAGTGGAACTTTGTAACTGACCAAGAAATTATGTCTGTTTATAGAATTAAAGAAAATTTATTATCACATAAAAAACAAAGCAACTTAAACAACTTACACTGAAAGAAATGTTTAATAAAGTAAAACAAATAAATATTAAGCTTCTTTTTTTTTGTAAATTTTGATACCTGTTCTTTATTTCATAAATTACGGTTTCATATTTTTAATTTTATAATTTCTGCATGCCATCTTACCAGATTTAAACTGATGATCTATAATCCGGAAAAATCGGTCCCGGACCCCGACGTCCGGATTAACGACTTTTGACTGTAATGTTTATTCTATTAAAAACTTTCTGTTCTTGTTATCATAATTGCTTGTCCAGTATGCTTTATATATTATTGTTCAAAACGGCTTATTATACAAATGAAATTATTTTATTAAAAAGCAATGTTTAATTATATGTCTAAAAAATTGTACTACCATAACTGGTGACCCAGATTTATTACAAATAGCAACATGCAATGTTGCATGAATATGCAGTTTGTATGTCAAAATTCTAAGCAACAATAAGTTATCCAGTGATGCAAGTAAGACATTTCACCTACGATTTCAAGTGTTGTGCTGCATTCTGGTGAGTCAACATATTTCTGTCATAATTTTAGCGAATACATGTATCGTCTGCTGACTATGAGCCGCCAAGTTCTCTGATTTAAAGTACCAAGAAACTGTGTCACTATACACATAGTGCTTATTTTTCTGCGTTCTGCGTACTTGATTGATCTAAAATGGTTGACAATGATGCTGCTTCACAATTGGCACGAGTGGCAATTAAGACACCACCTTTTTGTCGCCGAGACCCATCGTTATGGTTCATTCAAATGCAGTTTAAATTGAGTCACATTACTGCCGACGAAACTCAATTTTATACAGTGATCGCCATGCTAGAGGTACTTCAATTAGCTTGTGAAATAATTCAGAATCCACCGGCGACGGACAAATACAAATCTTTAAAAAAAAATAATTAATTTCTGTTTATGAAGAATCCGAGACAGTTAAAATCAAGCAGCTGTTGCAAGATTTACATTTAGGTGATATGAGGCCTTTTCAATTGCTATCTAAAATGTCAGACTTAGCCGCCGGTAACCTAACAGATAACATTCTTAAAACATTATGGATGAATAGATGCCCATCTAACATGCAAGCCATTTTAGCAGCCAGCAGTGAGCCACTTAAAAAGATACCCAAAAATCGCTGATAAAATTCAAGAGCTGGCCATTCTAGAGCAAATACACGCAGTGCATGCTCCTGGTCTAAGTAGTGGTGTTACAGGCTCAAATTAATGATTTGTCCAAGCAGGTCGCTCAGTTAGTAGCTCCAAGCTGAACCTTTTTAGCACATCTGCATCACGTGGTCGAAATACACGTTGTAGCCCTCTGAGGAAACGTTATGAAAGCCCTCCTCCGGGTATTTGTTTTTATCACCACAAATTTGGAAACAAGGCAAACAAATGCCGCCCACCGTGTCGTTATAACGGCCAAGGAAACGAGAAGGGCCGTCGCTCGAAGTCATGAAAGACAGCAGCCGGAATTTTGCACGCCTTTTCGTCATGGATTAGAATTTGGGTTTAAAGTTTCTTGTAGACACTGGGGCTGGTGTTTCTGTCATTCCACCACATTTTCACGAACAAAAGTGCCTTACCAAGTTACAACTTTATGCAGCAAATGGAACTCCTATTCAAACTTTTAGTGAACTGATACCTGTTGATTTAAGATTGCGCCGCATTTTAATTGAATTTCCCTCGCATTTATTAATATCCGCGCCATTTTACATAAGATGCAAGACAGTGAGAGATGGCTTCAATGTCTACTCTGCAGAAAAAGAGAAAAAATGAGGTTGTGACTTGGAAAGACAAGAAGGATATACGTTTGATGAATACAGTCCATAATAACTCGATGATTGATGTTGAAACACAGAAAAGAACTGTAAAAGAACCAAACATTGTAAAAGATTACAACAACAAAACGGGAGGAGTGGATCGCCTGGATCAGAAGTTATCAAATTATCCTGCTGTTACAAATAAGAAGAGATATTATTACTTTTCCATTATGCTTTATTTCCTTATAATTTTACTTAGTATTCATTTAGATTCATCCACTACGAAAGTTATGTATGGAATTTTATGATGTACAGAGAAAACAACATTACACGTTTCGAAAAACAGAGAGCTTCTGGGGAGAAACTTCTGCGGACAGGAGAGGATGGCGAAAGGGTTAAAGGGCCGTTCAGGCTGGGGTTTATCTGAGCTAAGAGAATCAGTTCCATGTGATGACTAGCTCCGCTATGTGTGCAGTTCAGATTTTTCAACTCGTCACTCTATTGGGGGAAAACTGGTTTTGGAGATGGGTTGGTTAAGTCAGTTGTCTCTGTCAGCTCAGATCCCCCCCCCGTCTGAACGGCTCTTAAGAGTTCTCCCCAGTATCCCCCCCCAAGTATGAAAGATATGGTACTAATATCTACACACATGATGAGTGGTGGAGAACTGGGAAGAAGCAGAAGGTCAAACATAGCAACAGAATCATTGATTGTGGGGATCGGAGGATTGGAAGCATTGAAGAATGCAGGTGTCAGCTGATTGACTCCTAGAATGATTTTTTTGGCTATGCACAAGAACTGTGAAATGTTTGTTGCTGTGTGCACACTTCGAAGGGACTACTATACTATATGCAGAAGTGAGAGGAGGTTTTCACCACATCCTTAGGCAGAAAAAGATGAGTGCAAGTGCTCAGTGCAGGAAGCAAACAAGGAGGACATGTTGAGGCATGTTGTAGAAGTCAGAGAAAGTGTTTTCATCACTTGTCAATTACATCTGGAAGAAGGACAATGTTCAACTAGAGCAGGGGATGATTAAAAGAACTCAGATGATAGTCGAAACATCATGCCATAAAAATGTTTCAGTGAATGTTCCTTGGAAGTCTTGTTTGAAGGAAAAACACACTACAAGAAGCACAAGAGTTAAGTGTCAAGTCCTTCAAGTGTTTATTATTACACTTGAGGGCTGCTTTTAGGTCATAGTGCAAATGTTCCACTGGTCCATTTGCAGGTGTATGATACAGCGAAGTGCAGATTCAATGTATTCCCAGCACAGATGTCAGAGAAAAGGAAAGGTATGACTGAAATTGCCAGATCAGTTGTTGTAACTAATGGGACACCAAATCGTGTAATCCAAAGGGAGATGAATTGTCAAACCACAGATTCAGCAGAGATGTTTTGTATAGGTAAAGCTTTGAGCAGGCTAGCAAAATTTGTTGATGCAGGACAGCAGGTATTGGTAACCTTCAGATGGAAGCACAGGACTACCAATGTCTATATAAACATAATTAAATCACTCAGAAGGCATGGTGATTTTTCTTAAAGGATGGTGCACAAAATCGATTTCTACTTGATTCTATTCTTATGAAGGAATTTAAAATGCTATGTGATTTTGACAATGTTTACAGTGGGGAAAGTGCAGAATCACCCACAGCATGTTTTTAAGAATTGCACATATTTGGTATTTATGTACACAACAACCTATTTTCACTTAAAAAAATTCCCAGAATTGCACAAAAATGGCACTATGCACTCCCTTGACTTTATCTGTGTATATATCGAAATATTTTCACTTAAAAAGTAAAAGAAAATTGACAAAAATGCAATTGTTTTTACTCATGTAAAAAGCAATAAGTGGGCGATTCTGCACTTTACTGTTTACAATTACCGAGTTTTCTGTGGTACTGTTTTCAAACAGAATTATCATTTATGAACAGGGAAGCAACTATGAACCATACAATTATCATAAAATGCCTTTCTTTTATAGGTCTGCTGGAAAGAGGTGACATGCAATTTTAGATACCAGAAATTACATTTTTGTTGCAGATAATAAAATATTAAGCCAAAATACATTAAACTCATTAGAAATAATAAAAAACTGAGAGAAACAGTCATAAATTGGGTTGATGGGAATACAGTTGAAAATCA